AAAATTCATCCTATTTATTGTTCGCATTCCTAGTCATTTCACATAAATCATTGAATGGAAGTCGATTGCTTCTCCATCGGCAAGACGAATAGCATGTGTATGTCTAAGAATTTCTCTTTGAATCCCACAAGGCATTGCATTTAAAGCTTGATCACACGGGTAAAAAAAAATCCGAGTCCCTGTCCGGCCCCCGTAACCGTAGCTTAATCGGAATGCCAGTCCGCACAAAACAAGTTCATGAGATATTTGAATCACCTATGCTTAATAGTGTATATAATACAACATAGTGAAATGCTAAAATTATTAACAGGAAGAATAAACTTACTCAAATTCAAAGAGCTACTTGTGTTGTTTATGCTGCAAGTTTGTTGAACACCAATAATTTGAATTAAGTAACAGTGGGAAATAGGAGCTGCAGTAGTCGTGGAAACAACAAAAAACAAGTCATGTTGCCGTAATATTAAGCCATACCATGGAATTTATAAAGAAATATGAGGATGATGTCAAAATATTCAGGCGGCCCATTCTATTTGAAAAGGAACATTTATTTTGAAATCTCCAGACAGTTGCACATTCCAAAACCAAATCACAAGCATGTTTATCTTATTTCATACAAGTCTCCAAGTTACATTTGATACAAAAGAAAAACATAAAAAGAAAAATCAATGTCTTGTTTACATCATTAGTCTATGTCCAAACTTGGTGAAAGGTTTATCTTATTTCATACAAGTCTCCAAGTTACTCATGTCAAAGCCAAGTCCTATCAAATTCAAGGTACAATCCAAAATAAAAGTCCTATCAAATTCAAGGTACAATCCAAAATAAAAGCTTGAAAAGTCGAGGACAAGGTAAAAAGAGAGGATCGTTTTATTAGGAATTCATCATCAAAGTCCAAGGTTACAAAATATAAAATACAGGTTTGTTTTTTACAAAGTCCACATGAGAATTAAAAAATGATCTACAAAACTCTTATCAAAGAAGTTCACAGAAATTCACAAACACGTTTTATACAAATGTCGTTGTTGTTACATGTTGATGATTACTCGTCAAAATTCATTCTATTTATTGTTCTCATTCCTAGTCATTTCACATAAATCATAGAATGGAAGCAGATTGCTTCTCCACCGGCAAGACGAATAGCATGTGTATGTCTAAGAATTTCTCTTCGAAGTCCACAAGGCATTGTATTCAAAGCTTGATCACACGGGTAAAAAAAATCCATGTCCTTGTCCGTCCCCTGTAACCGTAGCTTAATCTGAATACCAGTCAACAAAAAACAAGTTCATGAGATATTTGAATCACCTATGCTTAATAGAGTACATAATACAACAGAGTGAAATGCTCAAATTATTTACAGGAAGAAACTTACTCAAATTCAAAGAGCTACTTGTGTTTTTTATGCTGCAAGTTTATTGAACACCAATAAATTGAATTAAGTAACAGTGGGAAATAAGAGATGCAGTAGTCGTGGAAACAACAAAAAACAAGTCATGCTACCGTAATATCAAACCATACCATGGAATTGATAAAGAAATATGAGGTTGATGTCAAAAGATTCAGACGGCCCATTTTATTTGAAAAGGAACATTCATTTTGAAATCTCCAGACAGTTGCACATTCCAAAACCAAATCATAAACACCTACGTAAAAAAGGAAGGAAAATGAAACGTGTTTGGCATGTTCGATTAAAAACGAAAACTGAATTCAATACGAATATGATTTCAATTCAATTAAAAAGCTTATAAAAGCGGGGAAGAAAAAAAGGAAAAAGGGACCACCCGCATCTGCATAGAGAAATTCACAGAGTCATAAAAAAGCCTGATACAATTTTTTTGTCAGCATTCACAAAAACCTCAGAAGCCATTCACACAGTAGTAAAAATCTCAACCAGCATTATCAAACAAGCATAATAATTCACACAATTTGCAGACAGAGAAAATCACGAAAGATAATACAGACACGTATAGAAAGGAAGGCAGAACAACAGAATTCCAAACAGAAAGTTGGGGAATATAGGTACCTTCGACGGTACCGACACTGTCGAAATTGCGACGCCACTGTGAATTATCGGAGAACTTCACCAGACCTTTGTATCAGTGAAAAGAATCCTGCAACGGTCTGTTGGCCATCATCCATTGATCCTCAGCGAGGAACCCCGCGAGACCGATCCAATCATCCGCCGCGGGTACATTATCCTCATTTTTTGATATGGTGTTGTTAGTGTGTGTTTCTTTGTGAATTTGGGAGTTAATTTAAATTAAGCGAAGAAATACGATGCCAGTATCAAAGAGAGAAGCTATCACGAGGAAAGGAAAAATGGTCGGAAAGGTGTTTCGTTTGAAGGGAAAAGTTATGGTGCGGTGAAGCAAGCGATGCGAGAGAGAGAAAGTTGCGAGAGAATGAAGGGGCATGGCGAGAGAGAGAGAGAGAGAGATAGGGTTGGTGCTGGGTTTTTTCTTTTTTTAAATCACAATGTTGTTGATGGTAGGTCGGTGAGGGAGAAGGGACCCGGTCCAACTTTGTTTTTTTAATTACCTTTTTTTTTTTTTGTGTTTTTTAGGGAGAATAGGCCTTAGGCCCATGTACGTAAAAAAACATTTATATTTTTAAATATTTGATTTTTATTTATTTTGAATTTATTATTTTAGATAATAATGTTAATTTTAGATTAATTAGTTTTTTTATTAATTAGTTAAATTGAATTTTAAAAATTCTAATTGATTAATTATATTTCTGATTAACTTTAATTAAAATTTTTACTTAATTATGATGACAACTTTGATTTCTTATTTGTCGATAGTCTTGTGAAGTTGTGATGAAAATCCTTAACGATCCTAATTTGTCATGTTCCCTTAGGATATTCTTGATTCAATTTAATTCTCGATTATTTGACTCAGGATAGGCTTTAGTTTGAATTTTCTTGCATCATAAAAAATACACTACTATTCCCAAAGGAAAAGATCATTCCAATTGACTGCCATGTCATAGCGTAGCATAATTTTAGGTCATTCCCCTTATCTTAGCCTTAGGATCAGAGTCGCTGCACTTCAAGTAAATGTCCTGCCATGGAAACCCACTTATCTTTCTGTTCCTCCTAACCTTAGGATCAGAGTCGCCGCAATCCATGTAAGTTTCTGCCACAGATACTTACCCCTATCTTTCCCTTTCAACTTAGCTTTAAGTTTGGAGTCTCCGCACTCTATGTAAGTATCTTGCCTTAGATACTAACTTCTCCCTGGAACCTTGACCAAATTCAAGAGTTCCTCACCCTCTTTGAGGGGAACTACGAATGCTCTGATTCCATTCCTGTCAGGATATGTAGGTACGGGATGCGATGTCTTGGCGAGCATACTTAGAAATAAACCCATAGGTCTACCCTTTAGCAGACAGATAACAGATGACAAATAACACTACTAAAACAAGAGGTTCATGTAGAGTACTACAGATACTTAGGATGCTAACATCTTTTCTAAGTATAACCAACCTCCGAACCTTAGATCTCCTGCATTGTTTAGAGTGTAATTAGAGGTTTCTTCAATCTTTATCATTTTCTTTGGATAAATCAAAGCTCGGTGGTGAATTAAGATTCTGTGATTCAAGTTAATTAAATAGCTTGATATCTGATTCTCACCACAACATTCGTATATTAGGTTTCCTTAATCTTCTTAGCCTTTGGTGTCTGTGGGACATGCCTTCCTCGACATGGTGTCGAGTAACTAGTCAAGTCCATTCCTAAGGCTCCTTCAAACCCAATCTCAATGTATGCTCTAGAGACTATTCGAAACTACATCTCAAAATATTAGTCGGGAAGCTCCAATCGACGTGTCATCACAGTTGACTCTTGTCCATCACTGATAACATTTAGTACTTCACCAAATTCACTATTGACTTGATTTTCCTACAAGGTAGAAAATCATAGGTCAACAGTGTCGAACATAGTCTCTATTTGCAATATTTGATAGAAAGTCAAATATAACTTGTCGAAGCATCCAATTGTCAAAGGAGTCAAAATAGTCTGACATAGTTTTGTTTTAGTTGCGTTAGTTATTTTGTGATTGCTTGGAGTGCAAGTAATCTCTTATATAAATAGGGGGAGCTCTATTTCATTTGTAAAGAATGTAAGAGAATAAGTTATTTGCAGTTGCATTGTGTAGTTTCAGAAATCAGAGTGATGATTATCACACATTGTAACAAACACCTTAAGTGCAATTTTCAAAATAATACATTCTTCCTCTTCCTCCAAAATTTCTCTTATCTCTCATTTCTAATTGTATTTTTTTTCTTCTTTCAATTCTCTGTGTGATATAGAGTCATCTTGCAAGCAAAGAATGATTGTTTCACCTAAGTAAATGGTGAAGAACAAGAGGTGTGGCCAATCAGAAAGATTGATCTTTGTTCATCAAAATTAATTCGATTAATTTCAAGATTAAAATTTTCACAACACTTTCTTAAATGACCTGGAAACAATTTATAAACTCTCCACACCCTTAGAATGATTTTTTTTAATTAGAAATTTAGTTATTTTTAATAAAAATTTTGATTATTGAATTGTAATACTATGGTATCCTAAAATTTTCTTGAACTATCTATTATGCAATCTATTAATTAATATTTAGTTATTTTAATATAATATTTCTACAAAGTACCACTACCTAAAGCAAACTAACGGTACCATAAAATTTTCCTTTTTTTTTTTGTTGTTGTGACAAGAATGTTACTAAAATTAGGAGTGATTCGTTAATATATTTAAACAAAAACTTGCTAATCCTAATCCTAGTCCAAATCCAAATTTGAAAGGATTTGTTTATCTATTTTTAGAATTTTAAATGACACTTGTTCGTCAAGAATTGAACAACGGCAACAATAACGGACACAAATCTAAAACATCCCCCACATCACATCAAACACAACATTTTTTCCTTCATCTTCTCATATCCTCAAATACCTCTCTTCAATCATCATAGACAATCCTACCACCAACCACAAAAACTGATAAAGACATGGGATCCACAGAGACACGACCAATTCATAAAAACAAAAGCAAACGTAATTTGTTCAAGTGTTTCAAATCAGACAACGTCGTCGACCAATCACCGCGTCGAAAAGAGAAAACTAGTGACCCGCTTCTTAGTTACATTGCCTTGGCCGAGAAGCAAGGCATGGTCTTGCCTACCATCTTGTCTTCCGCTTTGACCGCCGCTAAATGTGGCTCCAGTGATGGAACCCCAACACGAAGGAGAAAGATGTGTAAGCAAAGATCTCTTCGAATTCGTCAGGCTTTAATCGCGGCCTTGAATCATACATCATTGGTACTCTTACTCTTCTTTCCTTAGATTTACATTTCCACTCTATCATTCTTTTTCTTCTTTCTTATTGATTCATATGGCGTCTCTGGTACAAACTAGATTACGCAAGCAGTGGTCTAAAATTTATTATTGTTAAATAGTGACAAAATAAAAACGGTTAAATTATAATTAATTTATAAAAAAACTTTAAAATATTTATGATATTCTTGCAGGGCAAGAAAATTATTAAAAATTATAATTAATTTATAAAAAAACTTTAAAATATTTATGATATTCTTGCAGGGCAAGAAAATTATTAATAGAACCAAAGCAAACAATAACAAGAACAACTGGGGAAAATCAAAGTTGAACAAGTTAGGAGAAGGTAATAATAATATTTCAAACACAAATCCTAAACAAGTACATGAAGGAGCCAATGCATACACTAATCCATCATCATCATCATCATATGATTCTTCACCTGCATTCACCTCTTCTACATTATCATCTTCTACGAATTCAACTAATTCACAAGCGAGTCATTTTTCAAGTTCATCCTCTGACTTGAACCCAAACCTTTCGATGAATGGAATTGTGGTGAAGCAAGAAGTTGAAGAGAGTAGAAAAAAGAGTTTTGGTTTAAACAAGAGTTTATGTTGGCATTTTTTTACTAGTCTTTTGTTTTTTCTTTTGTTGGGTAAGTTGTATACCTTATTGTCGGAGAACATGGTGTAATGATAGGGATATGTGTGAAGAAAACAATGAATTTGATTAGGCTGGTATGAGAAGTTGATCATGGAAGTTATGTCTAAAAAAGAGTTTGAATGGAGAACTTTTTTTTTTTTTTTATAAATCTTAATTATTTTATGTTGAGAAAAAAAAAGACATACATTGTCTCTTTAAATTAGTTTTATAGTGACAATCAATCAACCACTTATATTCTGTTAAATAATACTTCAATTTTAAAGATATTTTAATAATTTGAATTTATTTGTTTTTCATTGAATGACAATATAAATTTATTTTACAATGTTCCTGGATATTCATAGACTATTTTATGATTTATTTATTTTATATTTTGAGATTTTGATTGGAACTCTAATTATATGTTTTGCATATCTGTTTTCCATGTTTTACTTGTATGCATAGGCGAGGTATTGAACGATGCAAATTAATAGCAAATAATGTTTTATTTATTATTAAGTTAGTATTTTCTTATTTGAGACACTTAATTTAAATTTTCTAACTCATTTATGCTTGAGAAATTTTTTTAGATGATCACACTTATTTGAACAGATGGTCCAAAATAATTTTTAAGACTAGGTCTCATAGGATTTAGATTCAGAAGGTGTTCCTGAGATCACAGAGCCTGAAGCTATATAGTTTATGCTCATTTCTACTATGTGTTCTATGTTGCCTAGATCACATAGAAATTTGATTTATTTTGAAGACCTCATTTAAAAATTTCTTTAGATCTCTAAGCGGGTTTGACCGGCCCTGTTGGTTTAGAATATGAGTTTGAAGGTATGGTAACATGTGTATTTTTCTTCACAAGTGATTGATGTAACATCCCAACTTATAATTAGAGTATTTTATTTGACTGTTCGTGTGATTTATTCATTATATGTGAATTTTGATATTTTTGGAAAGTATGGATATTTTGGTAATTTAATAATTATCAGGGTTATGAGATGTGAGAGCAAATAAAATAATATTATTGAGATTATTACAAATAATTAGGCATATTAATTAGTTGATAATAAGATAAAATAAAAGAAATTATATAATTCTGATTAAACGATTATTTAATATTTATTTAATTTAAATATTTATTTAATTTAAATAATAATTTAATTGAATAATAGGAGAATGAGTCATTTTTGTTAATAAAGGAAAGTATGAGGTGAGAGGAGAGAGATTTATATTAAATTGGCAAAAAAAAAGGTTATTTTGAGAAGACTCGCATACATACTAAAAGGTGGCTAGAAACTAGGTTTTAGAGTTTTCTAGCATACAAAAAGAGGCCGAAGAAACAAACACAGGGAGTTTTGAGAAGAGGAGCAAAGTATGTGAGGAAGAATCCAAAAAGTTACTAGAATTATCAACTTGTTTCAAATCTAAGGTAGGGGTTGTCTACTTATGGGTGAATTTTCGACATGCTAGATAGTGAGTGTAACACCCTTCTAACCCCACAGAATAATCATAAATAATCAGAGTAAAATTGTCGTGCATTCACAATTAGGGTGTCACACATCTCTTAAAAAACACAATACATTTACCATTATTTTTTTTAACACTTTAATAAATAGTCATGCTATTCAATTTTCACTTTGCATGTAGCAGCGGATTCATTTCATTTTCATAATCCTCTTAACAGAACATTCATGTTCATCACGTAAATCAACATCACTTAGACACTGAGGCCAACATCACAATATTTCAATAAATATAAAAATATTGCGTATAGTACATAGCATATCTCTAAAACATAAACCAAGCGATCCCAGTGTTACATAACCAGAGCATGACTCGACCCAACGTAATTAAACTACTAAACAGCTACACCAATAGCGACTTCGTAACTACGAGCAGTACTACTCCTCGATACCTGCACAATGTCATATAGGACATCATTCCAGCAGAAGGGTGAGAAATATTATCATAATAACAACGCATATAATCATATATGAATGCACAAGTACACAATACATATATTCCATATTTTCTCACCACAGTTCAATTATAACTCATTACAATATATATATATATACACAAATATGGATAATTACCAAGCATATTTCATCATGCCTACATCCCAATTTCTCAATTCAACAATTCACACACATATGCATACTTCATACAACAATCCTATCTATGTTGTGTGACTCATATACAACCCTTCAATTCTCATCAATCCCCATTTGGGATTATGGATACATCGCTTATGCCCTACTAGGAACAACATCTCAGTTATTCTACCCCGGTAATTATTCCACTAGGAATGACATCTCAGTCATTCTACCCCAGTGTATACGACTGTATCACATATACCTATTTTCAACATCATTATCACACTTACCAAGCAATGCATATATATATTCACTATTATATTCTCAGGCATTATTCGCAATTCATCATATACATCATAATGCATATATATACACACAACTAAGCATATTCATCAATCATGCTTCTACAAATTCACATCATTTTCACATAAGCATTTACAATTATGTTTATTCACAAATCTCAATCATACAGATGATAAATGCAACTCATAGAGACCGACTCACGACTCTATGCAGATGCAAATGCAGTACCGACTCATTCAACAAGTTCAATTGAAGAACCAAATGGAACCATCACTCGTTGCCGAAGTAACTCCCCGTCGGGCCTACGATGTTCACCCATCGCTCACACCCCAGATGGGCACACGATATTTCAGGATTGCTCACACCCCACACGGGCACACAATTTGATTGCTCACACCCCACATAGGCACACAATCGTTCTGCAGATTCTACGCGGAATCAATTATGAACCATCTCTCACACCCCACATGGGCACACGAGGTTTCTGCAGATCCTACGCGGGATCAATCAACACAAGAATGCATATCATGATGCTTCACATGCAAAACGACTCATGACATTCTTGAAATGCATACTTATTCGTAAATATATTTCTCATGCATTCTTCACATATTATCACATACAATCATCATACAATCACCATGTATATTGTATTCATCATTCATCACATTCTATTGCATACAATCAATATGCATTAAAAATCATGCCAAACGGCAACAAACCCCATCACAATCATCATGCATTTTTAATCAATTTTAAACAATGCATATAATTTGCCCAACGACGATAATTCACAATCAATTCATAATCTAGGATTCACGCCATACGGCTACCCACAACATAACAATCAACATCACACAAGTTACTCATTCAAAAAGAGGTCGATCGCAACCGAACGCTCTAACTATTTAAGCCTCACTTACTTAAAACAATTAATCTCGATTAATCGGTAAAATTGGCTAAAAGTAGGATAAAAATAATATTTCTTTTCACCAAGTTATAGAACATATTATTAGCTTCAGTTTGATATAAAGAACGACAAAATCCGATAAACGGTGAAGAAGTTATGAATTTTCGAAGTTTTGAAAAATAATATTTTCTCACACTTACAGTGTTAATCGGTTAACGTATATGGTTAACCGGTTAACACCTCCAAAAACTCAGTTTTTAGGGCCCCAACACTGTGTTAATCGGTTAACGTATATGGTTAACCGGTTAACATCTGAAAAACTCTGAAAAACAGCTACGGGTTTGCACCAACCCCCTCCCCCCCCAAAACCTGACCGATTTAATTATTTTCTCCTGATTAAATACCTTATCATCATTACCAATCATATAGTAACAATTTGGGACCATAAAACGCAAATTCTACGACTTCCGATTTTCATCCAAAATCTTAACCTCCAATTGACCAAAAATGTCAAAACTTACAAAATCACCCGATTAAATTCCCACAAGCTCCAGTAGTCTTAGCCTAAAATTTCTCTACTAATCTACATCATTTATTCCAACTTCTAACCGTTAAAACCTCGATTTCTAACGATTAATCCATTTCGACCTAAAAATGGAAAATGCACAAAAACACCCAAACAATCCAAATAATCCATACATAATCACATACATTGACAAGATAATAATATTTCACACCCTTACCCGATTAAATCGACTCCTAAGGGTTGATCTTGATGATTCTCCAAGTTTCCTCTTTTTCTCCTCTTTTCTCTTCTTCCTCTTTCTTTCCCTTTCTTTCTCTTCCTTCTTTCTCTTCTTTCTATTTTCCTCTCTTCTCTTTCCACTTCCTCTTATATATATTTCTATTCTACTCTTTCCATTATATTTCCTCTCAAAACATCTATTAATCCATATTCTTATAAAATATCCAACTTAACCTTAAATAGGAAATATCTCAAATATTCTCCAACTAATAAAATATCACAATATGCACACATATCATATTAATATTCCAATCTCACAATTAAAACAATAATCATCCAATTAAATAAAACACTCAATAAATAATTGGGAAAATCAGAATCGGGGCGTTACAACTCTCCCCCACTTTAGAAATTTTCATCCTCGAAAATGTTACCCCATTGAACAGAGTTGGATACGACTCTCTCGTCCCAATCTCTCAAATACAGATTTCTCTAGTTGGTCCTCCCAACTGCCTTCACCAAAGAAATCTTCATTACTTCGAAGTTACTTCTCGCTCATCAATCTGAACTAGCAATGCCTCAATAGTCAAATCCTTTCTCACTTGTACACCATCTATCTAAATGAATGCACTCTCACTTCCTCAACTTAGACACATACCACATCATGTACATTCACAAGCGACAGCGGTAAAACAATCTAACATGCTACTTCTCCCACGCTTCCGCTGCACCACTCTGATACAAATCAACAAAACACGGTGGGTGCTTCCAAGACTTCAAAGTTCGACCAACACCAGTCACCACTGTAACTCTCAACACACGTCTTTCTTGGATCTTCTTGATCTTTTCAGTCGTCTCTTACACAATTCTCAGGTCCGAGCACAACACTCTCGCCTGAATCATAACACTACAAAGGAGTCCTACACCTCCTACCATATAACGCTTCATATGATGTCATTCCGATATTAGAATGATAGCGGTTATTGTA